TATTTTTGAGACAGAGTCTTGCTCTGTCGCCCAGGCTGGAGTGCAATGACATGATCTCGGCTCACTGCAACCTCCGCCTCCCGTGTTCAAGCAATTCCCTGCCTCAGCCTCCTGAGTAGCTGAGATTAGAGGCACATGCCACCGTGCCCGGCTAATTTTTGTATTTTTAGTAGATATGGGGTTCCATCATCTTGGCCAGGCTAGTCTTGAACTCTTGACCTCATGATCCATCCGCCTCAGCCTCCCAAAGTGCGGGGATTACAAGTGTGAGCCACCGCACATGCCAACAGCAAATTATTTTAAAAGAAAAATTAAAAGAGACATTTGATAAATTATACATTCATGCTACCTCTAGCCATATTCTTTTTGCAAGAAAATATTCATTTCAGAGTTTTCATAAGTGAGACTAAAAATAAATACTTCAGATAAATATATAAAATATTAACTGTGTTATGTTCAAATTTGCTACAGAAAAAATTAACAAGTGAAAATCAAGACCTATTAACTAACTTACTAAAATAAATCAGTTTCCAAAGGATATGGAAATTATTGATAGAATAATGACATATAATCTTGGAAGTTTCTACGCCTTTCTTATAAACTTGGGGTTTGTGGACTTTAAAGTAAGTTTAAATCAAAGTAAACTCAGTGAGTTCCTTGAAAAAAAAATGGCATTTTAATAGGGCCCAATATGCAGTTGTCCTATGGCCAAATTTGTCTCTTTATCCCAATGCGAAAAATCTAGAGAAACATTTTGCTAGTTTGCTTTTACACCACATTGATCAAATTCTTTTCCCTTAATTTTTACAATCAAAACAAGCAACACGTTTTTAAAAAAAATTGGGGGAATTAATGGTGTATGTTACATGCTTTCTATATATTTCAAAAGAGTAAAATTCATGTCTTTGTTGGTTTGCAGTTTTTAGTAAAGGATCAGAAGGAAGCGGAAGGTGTGGATGTTGCATCTTTGGGTTATGTGTTTAGGAAGGGAGCAGCCAAGGATGCACCTGCTTTTGGCACTGGCTTAGGCACTGGAACAGCACATGTCAGATGTCATCTCAGAAGAGGCAAGAAATACGTGAAATGCACACAACCAAGGAAACACAGACTTACCGCTGAAATGGTATGATTCCAAACAAAGACATAACTGAGTTTATGGTCAACATACCACCATGTGATACAATAAAATATTAGCATTCTTGTTTTTCCATCACACACTACGTGATTATTTTTTAACAACAGCAGCAAAGTATTTACTTTTTTTTCTAGGAGGAAATTAACATGGAAGCATGACTAAGTGTCATGTAATTTTACATTTGTAATATGGTGGAAAGATATAGCAAAATTTATCCTAACTTCAGGGAATAAAATGCAAAGTATTTTTAAATAGAGTATTTAAATATTGGAGGACTTTGATTTTAAAATCAGCTTTCAAAGCAAAGATTTCGTGTGGTTTACTATTTACTATCAACTATGCTGTGGCTTCTAATAAATGATTATGAACCTACAGGGGAAGAATAAGTTATGTTCTTTAGAATAATCATTCTAAAATAAACAATTAGAAGTTCTAGAAATTATTTCAGGGTCAAATGAATTAGTTTATCGTTGCCTTTGACCAGTACAGATGACTATCGGACATAATTTCTTCCAAGTGATTAGCTGATGGCAACTGACCCTGGCAAGGTTCAGCTGCTACTGTAGGTGTATGGCTCCCCAAAGCAAGACCTGACAAGAAGGCAGGGCGCCAAAAAGTGAGAAAGAGAGCACTGTTTGGTCACTATAAACCATCTTACCATGGAGAAACTAAGGAACGGAGATTAAAAAAATTTTAATTAGTGCATATGATGTGGAATTCACACTCTGTTCCTATGCTCTCCGTTGATTCAGGCATCACTATTCCATTTCCAATATCTACTCATCCATCATACCACCAAAACACTATGTCCTAACAACGACAACAAAAACACGATCAGATTTAAAATAAAAATTCTGACCTCTAGATAGGCTGAAAAGAACTCCTATAAAACAAAGGAAGATAACAGATACACTTTATTTCCACCTTTCTCCCTCCTCTTCATGTAAATAATTTGTTAGAGTTTTAAAATACGTATTTCCCCTTCCTCAACAAAGTCTGGTCGATAAATCCAAGTGAGGAAACTAAAATCTGAAAAGACAAGGTTCATGTAGCCAACTGGAAAAGTCTCTACATTAAGTTGACAACTGACCCACTGTGGCTATTTCCAAGGTAGCATTCCCTCGGCCTGGTATTGGCAATGTTGTGACAATAGTCTTTACTCTTTAAAATTCATACTTTACCACATGAATGTTAAGCAGTCCCAGGACAAATAAAATGAGGGTGGGGGCTTCTCTTTTCCTTAGAAGGATATTTTTCAATTATATATTTTGGTACATCTTGAGAGATAAAAGCTGTATCTGCAAGGGATTAAAAGATGTTTTATATTCATGGTTTCATTTCTGCTGAAATAAATGCGTAATTTATACCACACATAATTCATAGCAATTTAGGCCTATTACAGAGTTCTAGCTTCTTTTTTATGATAGTTACTAATTAAAGCAGAGTGTTACTGCCACACTGAGCCTAAGTCTTTGACATACAGGCTTAATGAATAAAATGTCCTGACACAAAAATGAAAGCAATAATGCAGACAAGGCTGCAAGCTGTTATGTTTCAAGTGTGTGGTAAAGATTAAGGGCTTTCACTGAAGTGATGAACTGTGCAGAGAAGGACCTTGTAATTTCTTTCTTTAAAAGAAGAAGTAAACGAACTTTTAGAGAATCTGAAATAGTACTAATTTCTGTAACTCCTGGGCCCCTCATTCCCAGTTATCCTTCTCTCCCCTCCAAGAATTTAAACTCCTAAGAGTCACTTTTGAAGAATAAATGATGGGGTATTTTAATATAATCTTGAATATAGGTTTAGATTGAAAATGGGAATTGGGACCATAATTAATTATGTTGCCAAGTTTTTTAAACTTTAAGAAGACAGGTGGAGGCAAATGACATTTTATAAGAGTTCAACCTTCTAAAGGTTCACAGATTAAAACTTCGGTAAAACGACAGTATCTTTTTGACATCTGATTAATCCCATATGCAGAATGACTGAAGAATTAATATCGTTTTGATGTTTTCATTTTCTGAAACCACTGTAATAAGAGACCGACATAAACTCAAACCAAGTATAAACACAATCTTAGCGAGGGTTGTGGCCTTATTATCACTCTTAGCAATCAATAATGAATAATCATACCGATCGCCCTCATTACACTTGGAATACACATTTGGAATACAAATATTCCCTCTCGGATCCATCTATCACTTCTTTCAAGATAATAAAATAATTCAATCCCATCAAATCCTCAGCAGCCTCTCCCTCGAGAGGGATGTTTTATCTGTACTTCTGTGAGCCCAGGGAGGATTTTACTTGTTTGAAGGGGGCGGAGAAGGGAGCGGGCTCCTATTTATTTCCATTGATGACTCCCCTGGTTCTCAAAGGCGTTCTGGGACCGGGTGGGAGGAGGAGAGGAGGAGGTGCGGAGATTCCCTCCGTCAGAAAAGAAAAAGGGTTCAGGAGGCGAGGCAGGAGGAGGAGGGGTGAAGGGGGGAATGAGAGGGTAGTATGTTTGGAGAGAGCAGCAACTAAATGAAAAAATAAATTCTTCTTCATCGACAGATGAAAAGCAAATTTATCAGCCCAACAAAGTTGCTTAAAAGATCTGTGTAAAAAAAAAAAAAATTGTTTTAAAGGAGTAAAAAGCATAACAACAACAAAACCCCAAACACATATCAGGTTCATTTCCCGCTCAAGGTCTTCGTTTTAGGAAGCCATCCGTACCCAACAGCAAGAAATGGACAGCGCCCCGAAGGGGGCCGGTAGGGGAACCCCGACTTCGCTAGAGGGACAGCTCAGCGCCAGCGCAAGGGTGCCCGCGGCAAACTCCGAGGAGTTGGTGCGGGGCAGGTCCGGGGAACTGCGGGAGCTCTCACGCCTGGGCCTGGGATAGGGTGCGGGAAGGAAGGGAAACCGAGAGCCCACAATGCAACGAAACCACATCCAAAATTCAGCAGTTTGCAAAGTGCCACCAAGAAAACAGCTGGAACCTGGAATCACTCGTTCGGACTCCTGGGTTGTAGGGGCCGCGGCTATTCAGCTCAGGAAAAAAGGTAATTCGGCTGAGAGCGAACCCCAACTCACGCGCAGACTGGAGGAAGGCACGAAGCCGAGTCTCCGGGCTGGAGCGGGAGGGGGCATCCCCTCGGTGGCCGCTCTGCTCTCTGCAAGAAAGTGTGAGCCGGTCCCAGGCCACCTCGCTCAACCAAGGAAGTTTAACGATGCTCGCCTACCACGCAGAGGACAAATGAGGAGCCAGAGCTGTTGAGGGACGGCCGAGTGAGGCAGCCGAGCTCCCGGCCCCGGCTGCCCAGCTCCCAGACGCCCTACGGAAACCGGCGCGCTGCCTGGACCTCTAGCTTTTCGCCCCCCACACACAAGCCCTCCGCAAAACCCACTCTGGCTGACTTTCCCTAGCGGAGGGCGGAGGGCATGAACCTGGAGAGGGAGGCAACAGCCCTCTTGGCAGGCGGGCAAAGTAAGTGTCCAGGCCAAGTCCGGGATAAAGGCTCCACGGCTCCCGGGACCCCACAATACCCCGAGCTCCCCTCCCAGGTCTTCCCCGCCCGTGCGCTATCTGTCCACCTCCTCTCGTCTCTCCGGGCCGCCTAGCTTGGAAAACAGCTTAAAAAAAAAAAAAAGAAAAAACAAAAACAACAAACGAGGGAAACCTGCTCCTGCCCCTCATGTCCTCAGCTCCTACGGATAGGGCGCCCTCGAGAAGCTTGTTGGACCCTTACGATTTGGGGGCGCACGCCTCAAGCCCCCATCTCAGATGACCCTTCGGGTGTGACCCATCCTTGTGCTAGGTTTCGGGGTGGCGGGCTAAGGCGTCGGGGCTCTGGGACTTTGCTTTCCTCTCCCCACTTACCTTAAAAAGATCTGTTTGTTTTTCGTAGGGAAAAGAGGAAAAATCCCTCCCAGAGGTGTGGTGTGCGAAATAGTCCACGTCCCCAGACCGTGCCAAGATGCTTAGCACCAGTATTCAGGAACAAGGAGCCTGGAGGGCGGGGACGGAGGCAGATAAAAGAGAAAAATTCAATCCGATGAAGTGTCCCAACTTTGCGGTCGGCACAGCAAACTTTAAAGGCGGGCGAGGGCGGGCTGCGCGCGGCCGCCGAAGTTGCTGCGAAGTGGAGCGGGCAGCGGCGCGCGGCTGGGGAATCCCGGGGCAGAGCCGGGAAGCGGCGGGAGGTCCTTTTAAACGGCGGGGAGCGTGCGGGGGCCGGGCGGCTGGTGGATGCCGCAGCTACCAGCGCGGCTGGCGCTGGCTTCGCGGGCGGCCAGGAGTCGCACAGGCGCCTGGCTGGAGCGCCGCGCGGGGTGCGGAGAGAGCCGGGCGCACGGGGCGGCAGCGGCGCTGGCGGGCGCTCTGCTCAGTTAGCTCTGCTCCCTCGCGGCTCGAAGCGGGGAGTGTTTGTTCTCTCCCGAGTGTCACTGCTGAAGCCCTGAGTCTCTTCCCCTCCCAGCACTTACCCCTCCCGCCTCACCGCTGCCCGCCCGCCCCCTCCCTCCTCTGCCCGCCGCTTCCCCCTCTGTCCCTCCTCTCCCTCCCGCTGCGCGCCAGCGCGCGCTCACGCGCGCACACACACACACACACACACACTCATACACTTACACACACACACACTCTCTCCCTCCTTTTCTCCTTGTCGCCCTCCCCCCCTCTTTCTCTCACACACACCACCCTGCTCAGCGACCCAGCGCTCCCCAAACAGGACCCTCGCAGGCGGCAACGCGAGGGACACCCTGCTGTCCTAACCTCTCCGCCACTCGGGGAGAATGAGGGAGGCCCACCGCACCCCCCAGGCGAAGCTGCAAAACCCAGGAGACGCGCACGCGGGACCATCGCACTGTCAAGGAGACTGGGGTGCACAATAGAGGAAAACTCTGGGGTTGATTTGGAGGCAGGGAGGGGGACCTGTTAAATCCAGAAGGTTGGTGGTTGGAGGCGGAAAGCAGAGTGTGCAAACTGTGCATTTACGTCCCACTTTTCACCCGAACGCCTGCGTACCACAGCCTTCACTCGGGGAGCGCTTTCCCCCTTGGCGCAGACCGAGCCTCCTCCGGTTTGAAACTCAGCAGCTGTTTTAACAATTGAAAAGCGGCCCTACAGTACCAGTGAAACCGAGCAGTGTATGTGAAGCCATTAAGGCTGACTAGGTAATTATGATAAGAAGTTACCTAATTAGCAACCTGGCCTGGGCTTAGGAAAACGAAGGAAAAAAAAAGTGCTGTATGATTTAGTAATCTCATTTTTGCAACTAAGAACCTGGTTTCCAGCAAACCTGGTTTTACATTATATAAATTGTAATAATATATATTATTTATTAAGATATAGTGTCAGTATTGAAAACACTAGATCTATTATTGCCACAATGAAATTAAGGTAGATAATATGGAAATCAGCCTTACCCCGGTCATATTAAGAACTGTGATCTTTTTTGTTAAATAGCTGGTCACAGAGGGTGGACCAATGCAGCTCCTAAAGTTTTGTGGCTCCTAGATGAAAATACTGCAGGAAATGGATTTATGAAACCGTTTATATGTCACAAAGTAGTTTTGTAAAATTTTTAAACTCTAAAAAGGACATTTGAGATCACTGTGCAAGCATATTTTTTTTGCAGATGAAACAATGAGGTGGGAAAAGTCCTGTACTTAGGAGATGTGATCTAGAGCAGATCGCTGGGTCATTCATTAACAAAAACTTATGAAGTCCCTGCTATGTACCAGGTTTGTCTATCTTAGAAGCTGAGATTTAGAGGTGATGGTGCTGCCTTTAAGGAACTCACCGCCTGGTGGGGAGACAGAGGCATAAATGAAAATGTGATTAGCACTATAATAAGTGCAGGTACCTGGTCCTGCCTGGAAAAGGAAACAGCTAATTCCCCTTTAGAAGCTTCTCTTGGTGGAGATTTCAGTGTAGGGTTCTGAAGGACAAAGAAGAAATACAGGGCCAACAAGGATGTGGTGGGAGGGGGAAAGGCATTCCACAAACAGAGGCAAGTGAAGAGGTTAAGTGTCAAAGTACATGGTGTGTCCTGGAAACTGGGAAACTAGGTGTGGCTGGACTACAGGTGAAGTAATCAAAGCAAAGCCACACAAGGCTCTTTGGGTGTAAAGCGCCAGAACTTGCCTGGAGGTGGTGAATAGTTGGGAAACTTAAAGGTTTTAAGGTAGGACAGATTTTAAGGTTTTTAAGTATTATCAGATAAGGTGTTTTAGAAGGTTTCCTCTGGTTTTACTGTGTAAGACAAATAGAAGAGAGATCACAGTGAGGGGGTTATTTCCAGAGGAAAAATTAGGTCTGAACTAAGGCCACAGAAATGCCATTTGGGAGGCTGGGACAGCTCTAGAAATATTTAAGAGGTAGAATTGACAGGGCTTAGTGATTGATTAGACATAGAGGGTAATGGAGAGAACAGAGTCTAGACTGACTCCCAGTTTTCTGGCCGGGGCACCAAAGCAGGGATGGTGCCACTAACCAAGAGAAACACATGGAGAGGAACAGTTTTAGGAAGAATGTAATGAGCTCTGTATTAAAGTTGTTGAGTTGGGGGTGCCTCTGTGACATCTGAGTGCTCTGCCCTGTAGGCAGCCAAAAGGGGAGTTCCTAGGAGAGTAGTTAGGAGCTAGAAGGATACATTCTGGTGTTTGGCAAGCATGGGGGAGGAGTAAGGCAGCCAGGAAGAGAAGACTTAGGATGGGACATGGAAGAACATTAATGCCTTAGGCATGGATAAAGGAAGAGGACTCTGCAAAAAAAGGGATGAAGACCAAGGAGGAAGGATAAGAGAGCAGGACTAAGAAGAGCAACCCCAAGGCACGTAACCGTCAGATTCACCAGGGTTGAAATGAAGGAAAAAATGCTAAGGGCAGCCAGAGAGAAAGGTTGGGTTACCCACAAAGAGAAGCCCATCAGATTCACAGCGGATCTCTCTCAGCAGAAACCTTACAAGCCAGAAGAGAGTGGGGGCCAATATTCAACATCCTTAAAGCAAA